TAAAAAGAACAGAGCCTGAGCCTGGCCCACAGTGACTCACTCACAGAGCCATGGGAAAACACTCATCCACTTTGTGCCTCCATTTGCTGCCTCCCTTCTCTTAAGGAGACCATGAAGATAAACAGTGTGGTGTCTGTGATGTCCTCAGAGTTGCAGGAGAAGACTTTTTCTATTTCCATGATTATGAGCAGTTTTAGAATAAAATGAAAGTAACTGTACTTATTAGCCCAAAATTAAAATTCCCAACAATTGGTGTCACAGTACATTGATCCGCATATTCACAGCAATGCCCATGGGGATCTGTCTGTCTAGCCAGGGGGTGGTTCTCAGCATTTGTACTCTCACCTACTGTAAATGTTGTACATGAAGGATATTTTGTTGAAGACAAATAATAGGAAGAAGAAATCTGTGGATAGTCCCCATCTGTCAGTATCTACAAGGTCCTTCAAGGAAAACACAAACAAATTTATCTTTAAAGGTGAGAAAACAGCCCTACATAGATGGGGTATTGCCTGGATTCTGTTGTGATTCCACACTGAGGGTATAACTCAGTTGATAGAATGTTTGCCTCCCATGCACACGGCCCCAATTTGATACTCAGCCCTGGAAAAACCAGACATGGTTGTACATACCTATAATCCTAGCACTCTTGATGTGGAGGCAAGAGGATAAGAAGTTCAAGGCCAGTCTCACCTACACAGATAGTTAATTCAATGCCAACCTGGACTAGAGACCTGGACCTCCCCCCTCCAAAAGGGGGGTAGGGTGTGAGAGAGGCTCCACTAGCATATTTACAAGTTATAGACCAACAGTATCTCATTTAAATTCAATTCTAGAAAGTTCTCTTATCAGCTTCTATGCTTGTACCTCCTGGATATTAAAGCTTTCTCTAAAGAAAGGAGGTCTCAGCCAGGCAGTGGTGTCACATACCATTAATTCCAGCACTTGAGAGGCAGAGGCAGGTCATCCTGGTCTATAGAGAGAACTCCAGGACAGCCAAGGCTACACAGAGAAACCATGTCTCAAAACAACAAAACAAAACAAAAAGAATAAAGGAGGCCTCTAAGGTCTGTCCCTTTATAATAGCCATAAATGAGTCTGACAGTACTGTTTTGGTGGTTGCTGGTCCAGATGTTTACTACAAGCTAACAAAGCCTTCCCCAGTAAGGGAGTGCTGACTCAAGTTCAAAGGCCTTTGCCAAGCCTTGAGTTCCTGTCTCCATCCTAGTTTGTTACGTATCATTTAATAATTGCCCCACTTTAAAATCACTTTATGACAATACTTCATGTATCCTTTGTCTAACACCACAGGTGTCAATCAGCAGAGGAGATTCCAAATAACTATAACATTCTTCGTCTGGAGACAGCTAGCTTCTGACTTGCTAACTTCTCTTGAGTTATATAACTCTGTTGAGGTTCTTGAGCCCCAAACCTTTACTGTACCATGGTAGATTTTAAAACTCATTTACAAAGTGTTCATTCTCCTCTGGATATCAACCTCCACTAGTTGTGTCTTGAGGAAGCTGTGTGGATGTTCTCAGCCACCTCCCCCAATCCAGGGGATACTACTGAAGACAGCATATATGATACTGAATTGGTGTGTGAAATGAAAAGTCTACAAGCATTCAATCTTTTTAACACAAGTAGATAGCCTGGATAGTGGCTTACATTCCCTTTAAGTTAAACTTCATACACACTGGAATTAAGGACATTTGGGACTGACAGTCCACGAGGAAGTGGGGAATCAATAAGCTCAGTTGTTTGCCCAACAAAAAGTAAATGACTCATTCTGAAGATGTGTAGCTGGCAACTCCTAGAGAAACACATCTGGAGGAAACAAAACCTCAGTCTTGTCCAAGCTTCTTGACGTAAGGATGATGAAACCCCAGCCCAGAGATGCTAATAAGCTTAATGTGATCTCATAACCAGAAACAAGTATCTGAGTCCATTCTCTGTTCTATGTGGCTGGCATGACACAGGCTATGCTCTTCCTGTTCATGCTTTGTGCTCTTGGAAGATGAAGTAAAGTCCAGCAAGATTTCTCTTTGGGAGTGGCTCCAGCATCACTGATGATCCATTTTGAAGTAGATTACAAACTCAAGCTCAAAATGTTTGCTTCATGATACTTTGTCCGTCTGCTTTTTTTTAAAAAAAACTTTCATTGGCATTTTGTTTTGTTTTATTTTGTTTTGAGCAGAGTTTAACTAATTAGTCTCACAAAGAAACACTGGGATGCTGGAAGCAAGCTGGGCAGATAATGAATATAATGAGTTTCAGGGCCCTGCCTAGCATCAGAGCTGAGTCCTAAGAAGTGGGGACTTCAGCAACTAAACTGAAGGAAGCAGTTCTTCTTGTTGCTATAAGGGACATTGCATTCCTCTTGAATCTGGTTTTATTCTTTCTTCATGTTAAAGGCTCTGATGCTCTGTAGGAGACCTGAAGATTATATAAAACATTTAGGTGAGATGGCTCTGACTACACAAGCCATGATTCAGACCAAGCTCCTGCATATTGTAGTATCTGTCATCTTTTGTCTCCTCCCTGACTCACAGTGTAACCTTTAGCAAGATGATTTTTCTATACCTCAGTTTCCTCGATGACAAAGCAGAGTTAGTAATACCAGCCCCATTTCCAGTTGACTAAAAAATTTTATTAGAATTCTTTAAATAAGGCAACTCTAAAATTATTCCTCTTATGTGTCACCGGTAATAGGCTCTTATTAATCACAATCATTGTATAAGCATTAAATAGAAGGTACTGAAGAGATCATCCCAGCACTTAAGACAAAAAATAGCTACCTTTCTTTTTATCCTTCAAACAAAAATGCTTTCTAAAATCTTGACTAGTTGTGAACTAAGACCTCTCTGGATGTCTAAAAGTTAAAACAAAACAAAACAAAACAAAACAAAACTGCTTACCTTTACCTCTCCTGAATGACTGTTTTAGGTAGTTGTTGCTGAACCAACAAAGTACACAGGCATTAAATGTAATGATGGTCAGCATATAGAAAGATGAGGCTAGTGGCCAAGGATGCCACATGCTTGGGCCATTTTTCTGACATCGAGAGCATATTTTCTCAAATTTGACTATATTTTCTAAGCAAATCCATTTGTGGCCAGAGTACTTCTAAACGGATATGTTTGTGAGTTTGCTTGGTTCCCATGTGACTCTTCTCAGCTTGCACCACCGTCTGTCTATATTGGTTGCCTTGTGAGTTGCTAGGACAAGATATTGACAAAAGCAACCTATGCAATTAAGGGATTATTTTGGCTCACCATTCTAGGGCATAGCCCATTGTGGCAGCAGGAACTTGAGACAGCTGGTCAGATTGTATCTGTGTTCAGAAAGGAGATATAAATGATGGTGCTCAGTCATCATTGAATTCAGGTCTTCAGCCCATGGAATAGTGCTACCTGCCTTTATGGTAATTCCTTCCACCTCAATCAACCTAGTCTAGAGAACCCTTCACAGGTATACCAGAACTCTGTTTCTATGCCCAACCAAACTAAGGGATCACAAAGGAACTTAAATGGCTTCCGGTGGCATAGAAACTTCTGTTTACACACAGAAAACATTTTGTCCTATGGCTCCCTGAGAAGCAATTAGAGCATATAATGCATCTTTCTTGGTCTAGATTATAGCACAGCCCTATACTTTCCTGGAAACATATTTTCCCAGTGAGAAAATAACTTTGTGCCTCACTTTGTCATATACGTATAATGTCAAAACAAGGAAAATATAAGAAACAGAAATACACCAAGTAGTTCCCATTTTTAGATAAACATGTATCTGCTTATACAGAGATCAGAAAAATCAAAGAACATGGAACTGAGAAGTATTTTGCCCACAAAACTATGACCCCCTCAATAATTCCTTACTAAAAAGAATAAACAAAAAGTATTTGGGCTTATAGGTTAAGAACACTGGCTGCTCTTCAAGATGACCATGGTTCAATCCAAGCACCCACATGGTGGCCCATAACAACCAGTAATTCCAGTTCCAGGGGACCCTCTTCTGGCATTAGCAGGTACCAGGCATGTAAATGATGTACAGGCATGCATGCAGACAAAACACCCAAACACATTAAAGTTTTATTTTAAAAAATAACACAAATTATTAATGAAATCCTTATAAACTGCTATCTCCAAAAATAACAATTTGGAAAAATCTTAAATTCCATCTTGCAAAGGTAGTGCCTTAGGCAGCTCATCCATAGCAAGTTTTATTTAATTTTCTTAAGCCTTATTTATACTAGACACTTTGTAGGAAATAGTAAAAGGGTCTATTGTCTGCATTACGCTTTCACACCCACATGGGCAGATATATCCACAAATAACCTCAGAAATTCATGGGCAAACATATCTACAAATAACCATGGAAATACACAGTGCTAGAATTGCTGAGGTGTAAATTAGTGGTCCAGTCGCTCATGATTAATAAAGCATGTTAGTTGCTCCACAGCTTCCTAGCAAAGCTTCCATATGACTTAGCAATCAGTCAAATATCAGAGAAAGTTACATGAGCTCTGAATGCAAAATTGGAAACCGCTAAGAGGAATACTGTGCACAGTCTGGAAAGAAACATGCTTAAAAATCCAGAACAACCCAAGACAAATTCCACCATGACCAGTGAGATTGCCCACAAATTTCTTGCATTAAAGTTATGTTGTCAGGGATCCTTTGTTACCATTTCTCATGTACCTTGTCCGTATATTTGTATAATTTAAGTTATTGAGGCTGTTGTATCTCCTTTGTTTGTGAAGAACAAATTCTAGCCATTGACTACTGGGGGTGATTTTGCATTCAACAGAAGAGAAGGGCAGATGAAAAGCTAGGTGAGTCCTTAGAGGTGCCATTTCCTTTAAGAAAAGAGAACTGTTTAAATACGATGGCCTAGCATGGCTCAGCCTGGTTTTGCCTTTAATATGCCTTTTAAGCCTGGGGTTCAAGAACTAGCCCATGGGGCTGATCTCTGTGTATGCTATCTTTCCAGCTGGGAAGATGACTTCTTGCAGCAACACCTGTGGGTCCAAGCAAACCCAGGCTGACACCGAGGGTGGGTACCAGCGCTATGGAGTTCGGTCCTACCTGCATCAGTTTTATGAAGATTGCACTGCTTCCATCTGGGAGTATGAGGATGATTTCCAGATCCAGAGATCGCCTAACAGGTGGAGCTCGGTATTCTGGAAGGTGAGGAAAGGAACAATGGAAAAAAAATATATCAGATGTGAAAAATACTGGAACTACAGAGAACTGAGAGGTTCTCTGTGTAAGCCTCAATCCTGTTGACATTAAATACATGTTCATCCCTTGGAAAAAAGATTATAAAATTTGGGTCAAAGAAAGCTTCTAAATACAACATAATTACTTGATGAGCTGGTTAAACAGGAGTGGGTTCAAAGGCCAGGCAATTAGTAGTCTTGCTTGCTCTTAACTAGCCACTTCACTCATTAACAGTGAAGCCACTCAAATGCAGAACATTGTTTTCTTTCAGCCTCCCTTGCAGTCTGGATAGGTATCTGTTATAGTTTGAATGTGAAATGTCCCCCACAGGCTCCTATGTTTGAGCATTTGGTCCCCAGATGCTGGTGCTGTTTTGGGAGTTTGTGAAACTTTTTAAGAGGTGGAGATTAGCTGAACTAAGTGGGTCCATGGAGGGTGGGCCTTGACTAGGCCTATCCTAGCTTCCTAGCTTTTCTGTGTTCTTTATTGTCCAGAGGGAGCAAGCCCCGGCCCCTACAGTAGGAGCCAAGCCTTCCTGAAATGTGATGGATTGTATTCCCTCAAACTGTGAGCCAAAGTAAACTCCCTCCCTTCAGTTGCTTCTTTCAAGGGTTTTATCACAGTGTTAAGAGAAGGAACTAACTCAGTATCAGTTAACACGTTGGAACAATTACTAGAAAGAAACCATTAGGTGCTGAGCAAGCATTAACGCTGAAACACAGCCCCATAATCATAAACCAGCTCTGCCTTCACCATACAGGGGAAGCCTGAGGAGCCTCATTATAAAAATGCATTCAGTGTCTCAAGATACTGCATCTCGAGAATTAGCACTGACTGCATCTCGAGAATTAGCACTGACTGCATCTGTAGAATGATTGGGGTGAGGTGCTGGAAATGATGAACAGGAAACAAAAAATCCCCTGCCCACATGGAGCTTACAATGTGCCCCAGGTAGTGGGAACTTGAGGCAGCTGGTCTCATGCATCTGTAGTCAGGAAAGAGAGAGGAATGCTGGAGTACCCACATAAAGGCCCTAACAGCATGATAAGTGACACCAGCTCTACACATAAGAGGAAGGAGGTGATGCAGATGGTCACAGAGGTACAGGGATAGAGAAAGATTGAGGTGCCATGATGGGGAAAGGCTTGCAGAAAAGATGAAAACTGAGCAAATACAGGTGGGCTCATGGAACATACCAGAATGTTTGGGGGCTAAATGTCATTCAGAGCTGAGAACATAGCAAGCCCTTGGAAGTAGAGAGGAGGTCCAATCTGGAAGTAGAGGTAGAATGGGGAAGAAACAGAATTCAGAAAAATAACAGCACAGATGCTCTCTGTGGGGTCTTGTAGACAATGTGAAGACATAGGCTGTTGCTTTTGTTGCCTCAAGAAACAGGGAACTCATCGGGCTGGCTAATATGTTACCAGGATCTTTCTGAGCAGAAAAGACATTATTGGGTAAGCACAGCTAAGCCCATTCAGAAGCTGTTAATGTACCCCAGCAAGAGACATGGCAGCTTAGGTTAGACAGGTGTCAGTGATGCTTTAAAACAGTCCCGCTTAGCACTAAGTTTGAGGGCCAGGCTGTCAAGATATGCCAATGAAAAAGAAAGATCTTAGACCCTCAGCGTGAGCTTCTGTCCTGGATAATGCTGTGACTTGCTTAGATGGAGATATTTAGTAGAGGAGTGGACAGGTGGAAACCATGAGTTCAACACAGAAGGTAATTATTACCCAATAGAGATAGAGCTCTCATGGCCATTTCAGGGTAGTGCCTCAGCTCATGGATTTGAGGTCATTGAAATCCATCTGTAGAAGGTACAGAAGGTGCCAGTTGAAACAACCTGGGGAAAGGCAATGATCATAGATGAGAAAGTGATAGTGGAATGCCCCAGTGCTTAAGAACTGGAGGAAGGTTTAGGTCTCTGAAAAGATTTGACCTCGAAGGATGCCTGGGGTCCAGATCCAACATCCCATGCTTACTCTGAAAGATCCCAGACATTGGTTTAAACTGCTATGTGTTGGTAATACAGTATAGCAAGAGGCAGTTTAGCCTAGTGAATATGGGCATAGATTTCTGTCTCAGGCCATATGAATTCAACCCCATGCTCTTGCATTTCATTGCTCTGTAACTTTGAGTAGTGACACTTCACTTACCATGTACATAATGTGAGATTGGAAACAGTATTTAGAAAGTGCTGAAGACAATGGCTGCTATTTGTTCAATAAGATTTTGATGTGTTAGCAGCCGTCACTTCATGCCAATTAGACTACTACATGCTGAAATGGAAATAAAACTGGAAATCTAGTCAATTACATACTGGGTAGCATAGTTGTTAGTGTGAATGGCCCAAGACTTGTGTTAATTCAAAAAATCATACTGTTGTCACAGAATCTGTGTTAAGAGTTAGACAGGTCAGCATCCTTGTTGTGTAGAAAGCTCAGCTCAGATTAATGAAATGCAGACTTGACCCAGGTACACCTTGCACAGATGATTGCTTCGCTCCTAAGTTCTCTCCCTCCTTTCTCTCCTCCTTTCTTCTCATCTCTCCTCTTTCCTCCTCTCTTCCTATCCATATGTATAGGTGTATGTATATGCATGAGTGGAGTATATTTATGTTGCCAGTGTATTTAAATACTTAAGCATTTATGTGCATCCCAAGCACTGGTGTGTGATTTGGGAACTGCAAATCCATTAAAAGTTATACAACTGTGGGACAAAAGTGAGGAACTCATGGTAAATGACCAACCCCATTAGGACTTTAGTATTTTCCCTTCTATCTTATACAAGTAAGTTCCAGAGTCTTTGTTCCCTGTTGTGTTAAGCCTGTTTTAGAGGAACACAGGCTGAAGCTTCTCTTAGGCTACCTTCCAATAAAATCCTTCACATAGAAGCCCAGTGTCAGCCTGCACAGCCTAAGGAGTCTGTCTTGGTGACATTTGCTCTACTCAGGGCAAAGGCTGGCTATTCTGGGGAACTTCCAAAACAGGCTAAGTGAAAATTTTCTCAGGAAGAACTTTCTAACAATACAGAAAAAGGCCCCCATTGCACACATGACCCAGTAAAACCCTGTTCGATGTTTTTTTTTTTTCTTGGTTTTCAAATTGCAACTATAGGTGGTTCAAGTTACTGACAACCTCTTTCCCTTCCAGTATAGAATTGCAAAAGTCAAGCCAGTCTGTCCCTTGGGGCTGTGCTCACAGTACCTTGTAGCTAGCACTCTGCCCTTGACCTCCTGAGCAGTGAGCAGATTGGAGAGGGTAATGAGGACAGAGAGTGCAATCACATGGACCTGTGTTAGAATCTTCATTCTGCCCTCCCTGCTCATTTATACATGACATCTATCTCAGTGCCATTCTTTCTTTCCACAAATATTTATTGGTCCACCTGGTAAGTGCAATAGATTATATAGGATCCATTTATTGCCCCTGAATAAGATACAGATATTCACAGTTAAGTAGAGATACAAAGGTTATTACAATCCAGAATGCTAACTGTTCCTATTGAAACGGTCATGGAATATATTGGGGCACAGTGTTTGGAAGACAGGAGTAAGTGTGTATCTGCTGCAGCCTGGAAAACTTGACCCCAGTGGAGACTCACTGTGCATCTGCAGAAGCAGGGCACCAAGGTGGAAAGAAGTTCATTGCAAATGTGGAGGGGTGGAAAGCATAGCTGATAGCTGAGACCCAGAGAGAGCAAGCAGGAGTATTTGCAGGTTAGGAGAGAAGGGGCAGAGGAGAGCTGGAAATGTATCCAGAAGCTCACAAAAAAGCTTTGGATGCAAGAGGAATTTCTCCACAGCCTTATAGTATACTGAGTATAGTGAGGAAAATAAAAAAGACAGTATTTCAATTTGAGAAGTGTCTGGTAATCTTGGGTAAATACATCCTTCCAATATATGTGATAGTCTTTGTGACTCAGGAGTCTTGATAATTAAGATAATTTCAGGGCATCGCAGAAGACTAAGATTGGATGTCAAGGTCAGGAATGACCCCAAGAAATGAGTGTGGGACCTAAAATACTTTCTGAATATGGAAGCTGTTGCATTTGCTTGTGTACTCTCCATGAAGTGTTATGGCTGATGGGAAAATCCATTGTTCTAGTGGAGGGATACCAAGCATACGGCATGGGGTCGGGCCTGAAGAAGCACCTAAGTCAAAGTTCTATATCAGGCTCCACTTTGTAGAGCTCAGCTTCTAGCTGGGGGCAGGCAGGTAATGAACAAGACCCTACCATGGCCATGGGCAGAGTACTCAGAGCTCAGGGCTTACAGAGAAAGAAACAGCGGTTGTCAGGGAAGGGTCAAAATCCAGCCCTCACCCCCCCCATGAGCTTTAAATGATCTCCACCCCAGATGGCTCCTTCAACCCAGATCCATCCAGCCTTCTCCCTGCCTCCCCAGGCTGTTCCTCTCTGCTGAGCTGCTTCTGGCCTCCAGCAGTCATTATTGCCTCCTCAATACCAGAACAGCTGTGCTACAGAGGCTGCTTACTGGCTCTGCCTACCAGCTTGGCACACACTGTGAAGTCAGACTTCATCAGCACACTAGGAAACAAGGAAGGAGATGCTGGTAAAAATAACAGCAATTTTGGCAGATTTATGGAACCCAAGGTTGTCTCACTAGCCAACTCTTCCTTTGCTGCAGCAGGGAATGGGTTTCACGCATGCTCTGCATAGCTCAGTCAGACATCACGAGTCACAGCCTAGGCACGGGCCTTGCTGCTGCTGTGGAAGTTTCTCATCATTTAGTGATGTCCTTTAAACTCACCACTGAGACTGACTCCTAACCCTAACCCTAACCCTGTAGCCTGAGTATGCTCTATTGTAACCTCTCCAGCAGCATTTCCCAGCACTTCACAGCTTACACACACACACACACACACACACACACACACACACACACACACACACACACACACACACGGCACCAAACAAAACTCTAGGGCTCTCTTAGAGCCTTAAATGACCTTTGTGTGGCCTGTGTTCTTTTGCTGATTTTTCCCTTAGAGGAAATACTATCACAACTATGTTCAGATACAGTCCACATGATGCCTGATGAAATCACTCCCCACATTTTAGTTCCTTTCTAGTATTCCAACATGATCTCAGGATCAGGATATGCATTCCACCTGCCTTCCCCTTCATAATTCTCATGGGGATTTTAAAAAACACCCGTATCATAATTCATTCATTCATCAGTCCTTCATGCCTGTAGTCGCAAGCTGTCTCCTGTTTGCAGTCCCTCTCTGGGCACACTTCTTGGAGATTCCATGACACTTGCATTGATAGAAGACAGCTGCTTATGGCTGTCTGTTTCTTCCCATGAAGCTCTTATGGAGATAAGGAAAGACAGGAGGCTCTGCCTGGCCAGTCACTCTCCATTTCCGACAATAGTTGGAACTTCTTCCATGTGGAAGCCACAGTTTGTTTTTTGCCTGTGAGTGATATTCTCAGAGTGCCTTTTGTCTTGTGCACTGCTCAGCTAAGAGGCAAGCTGGGCTGAGATCAGTCACCTAGGTCCACTTCAGTAGGCTAGAGGTTGGAGTTTGCCTGTCAAGAGTGTTTTCAGGGAGTCAGGCTCAATTATGAACTTCAAAAAGGCAAGGCAGAGAAGATGGGTTGCTGCCTCCTGAGCTCTGCAGAAGCCGCACAACCAAAACAGCCACAGCTTTGCTCCCCTTTGGTTTCTGAGCTCCGGCACCAGTTCTTGAGGAGGGAGGTAATTTAGTGACATGGGAAGCAAGTCACCATGGATATTTAAGTTAATTTAGTTTGTGCTTCCAGAATTTTCCAATGTGAGTCATTTTTGAAGAGTTATAAATAATGGCTAGTCCCTGGAGGTGAATTTACTTACCATCATTTTTAGCAATCCAAAATATGATTTTACACCCCAAATTTCCCTACGTTATTTGCATCTTACATAGAATAGCTTCTGTGTTTTTAATTAGGCTCACACTGACATATTTTGTTTTTCAGTTTCTTCATCATATTTATTAAAGGAAATGTGTTCATATATAGGGAATGAAACTCTTTTGAAGGGAGAGGGAATTGGGATTGCTATGTAAAACAAGGTTGATTCTAATTTAAATTAAAAGAGAGAGAGAGAGAGAGAGAGAGAGAGAGAGAGAGAGAGAGAGAGAGAAGAAAGCCCAAGGGGGGAAAAGGAAATTTGACCCCCCCAAAAAACTTTTGAAATTAAAATAATAGACAGAGAATATGCAAACTGGTAATTGGTAGAATATTGCGGGCTTAAGACAAGCAGGGGCCACACCAGTCCAGATTATACTAACTACAGAAGCTTGAGATATGCTTCTTCGACCCTTGCATCTTCCAATGGTGATTCTGAAAATCTCCACCTCTCATAAGCATCTGTATTAAACACACAAGCATCCAGCATGGCATTTGGACCACAGATGATGCCGAACAGCAGTGGTGCCCTTGACAAGGCCTCCGGTTGAAGAGGGTATTTTCCTTCTATTAGTCAAGTACCCTCAATCAATGCATCACCTCTAGAATTCAACAGATAAATAAACACACTTTAATTTCCAAGATTAGGCAGGATTATATATTTGTTTATTTTTCCAACTTTGTTACTCTAACTTAAAGCAATTAGGAATGGGAGGAAATGAAAGGGGTGTTTAAGTGTTAAGTGATCCTTATTCCAAATGATGAGTAACTGTTTTAACATTGTTAATCAAAGTTTTTTCTCCATGAAACAGCTACACATCAGAGTTTGTTACTTACCAAACACTAAGTTAAGTGTTTTTGAAGATAGTCATATTTAATCTTCACAGTATCATAATGTGGATACTATAGTCATTTATTGTTCTATAAATAGGGAACACAGTGATACAAAATTTCAAGTAACTTTGCTTCTATGATTCCAGTATAAGTTGCAGGATGAGAGCCCAAGGTGAGGCTACCTACCTGTCCTGGGCTCTAATCACCACGTGGTATATCACTTTGCCTCTCTGCTCTTTGCTCCTTAGTTTCCATTGTCAATTTGGTTGCATTAAGAAACCCCTAGGACACTAGGGAAGCATTCATTAGAATACCTGTGAGGATAATTCCACAGAGGACTAACTGATGGCAACTTCTCTTTGAATATGGAAAGCACCATCCCATGAACTCGGGTCCTAGAATGACTATAAAGAGAAAGAGGAGAATGTCAACTGTATCAGCCAGGGTTCTCTAAAGGAACAGAACTGAGAGAATGAATATGTAGATATATAGATAATGTAGATATAAAATCTATAGACATATAGATACGTGGGAGAGAATTAGAGTGGCTTACCAGCTATGATCAGTGTAGTCCAACCATGACGGTCTCCTGACCGAAAGGCTAAGGATTCGGTCATTGTTCAGTCCACGAGGCTCTATGTCTCAGCAGTCTCAATATGGTGCTGGAGTTCCCAAAGGATTCCTAGAGAGCTGCTGGTCTTTGGTCTATACTGGAATCCCAGATACATAAATTCTAATAACAGCAAATGAATGCTTCATCAGGAGGACGGGTAAATTTGTCAATGATGCTGAGAACAAAGGAGAGGCTTCCTTCTTCCACACCATTTTATGTGGGCTGACACAGGAAGTTGTGGTCCAGATTTAGGGTGAGTCTTCCCACCTTAAATGATCCAATCAAGAAAATCCTTCACAGGCTTGCTCAGCTGTTTGAGTTTTAGCTGATTTCAGATGTAGTCACGTTGACAACCAAAATAAGCTGTCACACCCACTAACCCACCTATAGTCCCCTTGCTGTGCTTCCTGTCCAGATGGGCCGTAAGCAAGAATCATCCTTGTGCTTTCATAGCCATGGAGTTTCTCTAGACATGCCTTCTGCACCATGGTGGACAGTATCTCCTGGAGCCAAAATAAACCCTTCCTTGCTTAAGTTTCTTTGGCCAGGCATTTGGTTACAGAAGTGACACTTAAGAAAGCAGTTTATCCTCCTGTAATACGTTGGCATCTGCACACATTCCACTCAACTACACATGAAAAGAAATAGAGCATGGGTCTGGGTCATCTATATGGCTGCCACACCTTCTCTTTGTGATGGGTCTGTTTTTAAGCAATGACTAGCCTTCTGGAGGCTCCACATCTTTACCTGCTGGCCATGGATCCTTCTCTGCTTGCTTTAGAAGAGCATCAGCATTGATGAAGATTGTCAGTGTTCTCAGACCCCAAATACTAGGACCACATCTGTCAGTGGAGCATGCTGGGTTTTTTTGCCTATTGCAGTGAAGATAATACACCACAGGAACACAGAATGAGGGAGTGAGAAAGAATGAGTTATATGGTTATAACTCATTATATGGTTATATGGTTATATGAGCTTTGGGTAAGGGATCCAGGGAGAAGACTATGGATGCAGCAGACACTCTGTATTGTCTAGACAGTTCTCTGATAAAGCTTGTCTGTAAGGAAGGCAGACTCCAGTGAAAGGTCAGCCTCAGTGGGAAAAGCAATAACAGACAGACCTATGGGCTTCAAGGAACAGTCTACATGGTGACCCTGTTTGTAAAAGAAAGAACCATGAAGTGGCTTGGTCTTGTCTTCTTCCATAATGGTCACAGGTTGAGCATGTCTGAGTTGACGATCTATGAGAGGTGTTGTGCTTGGCATATCATACTTTGATATGTCAGTCTCTGGCGACATCAAGGTTTTCAAGGGACAGAGTCAGGCCAGCTCTGGGAATCAGGGCAGTTTCTCTCTTCCCCAACACCAAGTGAACTAAAGCAGGCTCCTTCAGCTTGTACAAGTAGAAAGCTATCGAGATTTGGAGCTGTTCTTTCTTGTTGGCATTCCCTCTCACCTTCCACTGTAGATATGCAATTAAGTCTGTTTTTCATGCTGATTGAGGGTAGCTGGGAATAGCCCCAACTCTGAAGAAATGGGTAGTGTCCTTGTGGATGAATGGAAACAGAAAGGGGCAGCTGTTCACCCTCTCCTGCTTCTGTCCTGTCTCTCTATAGGTCGGACTCATCTCAGGCACAGTCTTTGTGATTTTTGGACTAACTGTCCTGGCAGTGGGCTTTCTTGTGCCTCCCAAAATTGAAGCTTTTGGTGAAGCTGACTTCATGGTGGTCGACACACATGCTGTGCAGTTCAATGGCGCCCTGGACACATGCAAGCTAGCGGGGGCTGTGCTCTTCTGCATTGGAGGCACGTCCATGGCGGGGTGCCTACTGATGTCCGTGTTTGCGAAGAGCTATTCCAAAGAAGAAAAATTCCTTCAACAGAAGTTTAAAGAGCGAATTGCAGACATCAAAGCCCATACCCAGCCTGTCACTAAAGCTCCAGGCCCAGGGGACACCAAGATCCCAGTCACTTTGTCCAGAGTTCAGAATGTGCAGCCCCTATCAGCCACTTGAAACATTTGCCACCTCAGGCCTCCCCTCTCTGATTCACAAGTCTCATCTTTAAAAACAAATTTTTTAAAGGTAGCCAGTTTTTGAGGTGACATGCATTTGGCAGTGACCTATCCCTAGAGCCATGTGGGGCTGGACACAGTGTCATGCAGGCTTAGTTAGGGTGACAATGGATAGTATGTGTCAGTCTGCACCTGCTTCTGATGGGTTCCTCCAGCCCTTCTGGCACTAATCTCCCTGGTATCTCTTCTATGTTACTTGAAAGCACTGAGCAGTATAGACCAGCCAACTAGTCACCAATGTGATCCACGTTATTTTCTAGTTGATTTTTCTGATCCTTCTGTGTGGTGCTGTCTTCCACGCCTATCTCTGTGTATGATTACCATCATGTGTTCATAGAAATGCAGTTCCCTGATTGTGATCTGGATGTTAGATTTTTAAAGCTATCTTGGCCTAAAAGTCCTAAGAATGAATAGAAATGTTCCATGTAAATTGTTTTGTTTTCTCCGGATTTTTTTTTCTGTAAAGATGTAAAAGTGACATTTTGGGAATCCTGGTTAAAAAAAAAAAACAGCAACATTTACAATAATGAGAGTGTACATTAATGTAATATTCTGACAACAGTTAAAATCTGGGGAGCCCGACTTCCTGACATTAACTTTGCCATTTGACTTTGCAGAAATATATAAAGAATAGTTCCCCAGGCTTCGGTTCCCCAACTTGCATATGAGTTTTTAAGAACATTCCCTGCTTAAGTATATGAATTTTTTCAGCCACGTGTCACTGAGTCTCTTTCTTGGGGATATTTGTGATGGTCTTGTGTTGGGGTATTTTTCAGAACTGGACTCCTGAAGTCTCCAACTCTGCAGAATTTACAGTATATACCTTAACTATCCAACTCAAGCAGGCTGGATGACACCACCTTGCATTTATAGAGACGAGTAAGAAGCCCTAGGCTGCTGTTAACCTAAAAAAGAGTTTGCATCCTCAAATAGGAGAATCTGAGCTCTAAGTCCCCTGGTCTCCAAAATATGACCCTTGACCCTCAGATTTCCATTTAACCTGCAAATGTAGATTGGACTACGGAAAGGGAAAGGTATGACTCCGGTATTTTCAATTGTGCTGCTTAAAGTTTGGTCTTTATATGTATACATATTCTTCCTTTGAGAGGTAAAGCAAACATGAATGAGCTGGACCAGAACTGTGCTATCATCCCCCAAATGTGGCTCTTTTCTCTCCAACATGTAATTTTCCATTCTGAGACTGAATAAGCCCTGATGTTTCCCTGACTAAATGGAAGAATAAATGAAGTAATTAGTGGTCTTTGTGTGCAGTGTTTATTTTGCACCTTGCAGCATAACACACGTGGCAGTCAGCATCCTCTGTGGGGCTCAGCCACCAGGTTATGGAGAAATTGTTCTGGTTTCCTCCAGTGCTCTACCTTCCCATGGAAACACCACTTTAATTTTATTCTTTGAAGCCTTACACAAGGTTTAACACAAAACATCTGTGTTAAACACCTTTCCTGTGTTTTCTTCTGACTTGGTACCAATGAATCTTGGAGGATGAGTTTGATTTTTATTAGACTCTGGAATGAAAACAACTAGTTGGTGGAGCTTGGAAACTTACACACTTGAGTATAGAAGAAACTCCACCTCTTAGATAAAAGCCATCTGACATTCCTTACCCTTGCTCAGCCCCAGCTCTACAGAAGTGGGTAGCTATAAGCAACCCCGCAGTCCACAAGGAGTCATTGAGCAACACAGAGGAAAGACTGAATCCACATGGCAGCAGGAAGGAGAAAGGCTATCGGGTAGAGATTCAGGCCATATGCTTTCAGCAGGTATAATTCAACAAACAAGATTGTCTTAAAGCTAGTCATGTGCCTAGATTGTAGAGAGTAGGGGATGGTCTGAGAGCCTTGGTCCTAGCTGACTGTTTACATTGCATCTTCTCTTTGACACAAACTTCAGGAACCATGGTATCCATGCCTCCAGCTGTAGAGGGAAGTGGGATATGAGAGGTTGAGTCTGAAGAGCCTTAGAAATGAGATCTGGCCTGGAGGTCATATGAGCATGAGATCTGCTGACTAAGCCACCTCCATTGCTTGGGTTTTCCCTGCTTCATCACAGGGCAAACTAATACCCTATCCTCTATGTGGTTAGCAAACCCATCTCATATCAGAAAAGTCTGCTTTCCTAGTGTTCTCATTCATTAGACAACTGACCCCAAGCCCCAAGAGACACAGTTTGTTCATTGAATCGCTTTGATTCCTGTCACTACCTTCTTGGTCCTTTTCTCCATGAAGACATTTTCATACGTTCTTTAAGGTTCCAATTTATCTCTGTCATGTATTAACTGGAGAGTCTTCCTTCACCCAAGTTTCACAAATGCTGAGATGTTCTAACTTTGTTAAAAGTGTTACTTCCTGTCTCTGCCCAGCCATCTCATCCGTCCATAGCTTTGATAACCAGGAGCTATGTAAACAGCTCCTCTCTGTACTGGTCATGCTGACCTACTGAGACCTGGCCCAGTTCCTCTCCTGTTTTGTTCTGGCTCAGCCCTTTACCCTTTCCAGATATGGCTGTCCTTTGAGCCACTGCTCCACTCACAATGCCAATTGCCCAGGAATGATAAATTCCCCTTCACTGGCAATACAACTTATTACCTAAGGAAACACCAAGAAGTACTAGCAATAATACTAAGAGCTAGGAAGAAGCACCTTGAAAGGGCTTTATATGCATTCATTCATTTAATCTTGGCCAAAATAAATTCCATGAAGTAAGGACTATTAATCAAAAGCCCATGTTGTAGGGAAGAAACCGTCAAAGAGAAGCCAATTCCAGCAAGGCCAGGCTGTGACTGACATGTGAACATGAAATATCCCCACACCAACTCACGCATTAGAACACTAGTTCCCCAGCTAATGGCACTGTTTTGGAAAGCTGAAGAACCTTTGGGAAGTGGAACCTCACTGGAAGAAGTAGTCAGTAGGGGACAATTCTTAAGGTTTTAAAGCTAGGCTACATTTCCTGCCCTTTCTGCTTCATGACTATGGCCACAAGATGAGCAAGTGTCTCATTATTAATTGGTTTTAATGTTAACTTGTTATAAGTTAGAATTACTGAGTAAAGAGCCTCAACTGAAGAACTCACCTGACTGTCTTAATTGATTCAGGACAACCCACCCCAGGTGGTTGCACCTTCTGGTAGTGGTCCAGATAAAAAGGGTATGGCAGAATGAGAATTATTTAACTGTTGCCCGCTTGACCTTGCTGCTGAGTTGATTCCTGCTGTTGATGCTGCTGATGCTGCTGATCCTTCACAGATACCAGAACCAGTGTTTCCAGGTTTCCATCATACAATAAGGAACAATGGCTCTCCAGGAACCTCCCAGTTTTCAGAGCAAGCTTGTGACTATCAAGGCATTCAGTCTTGTGAATGGAGCAACCATTAGAGAAGTCCTTATGCTCTCCAGTGTGAGACAGCCACTGTGGAACCACATCATTGCTATGGCACCCAGCCTTGGGGACCCAGCAACTACCATATTTTGGCCTCTTCTGTGTGATTCACCTTATTTAAATATTTTAATATGAGTTGACTTAGTAAATATATGTGTGTCTATGTATGTATGTATGTATGTATGGATGGATGGATGGATCCCATCAGTTCTGTTTCTCTAGAGAACCATGACTCATGCACTTAGATTTATGTTGCCATGTCTTCTTTGCCATGAGAGGTTGGATCCATTCTTAAACCATAAGTCAAAATAAACCCTTCCATCCTTCAGTTGGTTCTCATTTAGTATTTGGACACAGCAATAAAAAAAAAATAACCAGCACAGTGGCAAAGGCAGAGTTTAAGCTCAAATAAGCCAGATCCCCACTGAGGCTGCACTTGAGCAGACAGCTTCTTCTGCTTCGAGAGTTGTTTGTTTTCTTCTCTGTCATTTCCCTGCTGTTTGTCTCTCTGCCTGTCTTCCTGTCTCTCTCAAGCACACATGCACACACCCACACACATCCTGATTCATACCTAGTATTTCCTTAATAAGGAAATGGTGACTTCTTAACACAGCCCTTTTGTCCATTAAGCTAGATTATTAGTTGCTTGGGTGCCAGGTTCATATTCTAATGAGCAGTGAAATGCTGCAAAGTAAATACCTAAAAGTTTTATGAGGCTATTGTATAGTCATTTAAAATAATGAGTGGGTGTTTCTTAAGAGTCCAGCATTGACCTTGTACTACACTATGTAAAAGGGAGATTCACGGGGCACTGAAGTTTGTCTTGCTCTGTGTGTGTGTGTGTCTGTGTGTCTGTATAAATATGTGTGTATCTGTATGTGTCTTTGTATCTGAGTATATACATGTGTCTCCATGTGTCTGTGTGTCTGTTTATATATGTGTGTCTGTATGTTTCTTTGTGTCTGTGTATATATTGTGTCTGTATGTGTCTATGAATATATGTGTGTCTGTGTGTATATATGTGTCTGTGTGTATGTATGTGTCTGTGTATATATGTGTGTCTATATGTGTCTTTGTGTCTGTATATATATGTGTGTCTATATGTATCTGTGTGTATATGTGTGTTTCTGTAAGTGTCTGTGTGTATATGTCTGTCTATATGTGTCTGTGTGTGCAATGAAATAGCAGCTCCAATGCTCAAACCAAAATCTAAAAGAAACCAAAAGGGATGAAGTGGGATCCGGGTCTTTAGAGCAGAAGAGAATCTGCTGCCACAGTGTCAGCCTTCGCACACAAATCCAGCCACTTAAGACTCATGCTCTGCCAACTCCCAGAAGCAAATGCCCAACATACTCATAGACAAGCATGCAGAAGACAAAGGATGAGACCAGAGACATGGGGTCCTGGCGACAAGCTCTCCTCCATACCACAATAGGGGAGGGGAGGCCCAGGCTGCTGCTAGTGTGCCTTATTATGTCCAACCCACATGCCCAACTGAGAGCCTTGCCAATGGGCTCAAACTTCCCGGTTATACTTCCCATCC